CCGCGTAGTGCACGGCGAAGGAGCGGCCGCAGGTGGCGGCGGCCTGCTCGAGCTGGCCGTCTTCGCGCACCGGCACGCGGTACACGGCGGCGCCGGAGCCGGCCGAGGCGGCGCGGCCCGGCTGCGGCCGGCTCACGGCCACCACCTCGCTCAGCGGCACCAGGTGACGCACTGCAACAGGAGCCGAACACCTCGAACACCTCCCGGGACCGAGCACGCACGCACATCGGGCGCGCTCTGGCGATCCGAGGGACAGTCCCTGGTGGTCCAGCAGAACCCCGGAACAGTGGTTAACAAACTTCCAACTCGTAACTGCCAGTCACCATGAATGAACGGACTCAAAACGAGCATCAGTCGCGAAACATGCCATTCTTGCACTGGTGTGACCGAATTTCCGGGTGGCTTTCAGGAAATGGCAATGCCTCCATAAGCAATGTAGTTGATGTTTCTGTTATGCAGACATTGTAAACAAACACGTCCTCACCCTGTCGGTACGCCTGTCGTAACCTTTGTAACGTTTCGCTCACATGCGCGGTGTTCGGGTATGGGCGCTGGCCCTACCGTGGCCTAAACGAATTCCCTTCAAACTCTGTGTGTCATGCAAGATTAAAATAGACTACGATAGCGGACCTGATGCAGCTTGCTTCAGTAGGAATCTACTTCAAACAATGTGTGTCACGCAAGCTAACAACGACTGCTTAAACCCATTAGACGATTTACTAATTCAAAGGCCATGGGCGATGTTTCTGCTTGTAATCGATGCTGCCGAGACACCGTTAATCAAAAAGGGTTAAAAGAACTTCAGTCTCGTCTACATTTTGCCAACCGACCTATCCAATTGCAGCTACTTGAGTCATTCACTGAGCTTCAAATAGCCCACACAGACCCTCCTCGAAAAAAAAACACGAATCCAAAGCAGCTTTTAAGGTCACTTCCTTCAGAGCGGCTAGTGCACAAGGCAGGTGGCGGGCCGCGGCATATAATGTTTCCGGAACATGGAAATACGTGCAGAATAAGACAAATAGAGCAAGCAAGTTCAGAAAGGGAGGAACAGAGAGCACGAAAGAGAAAAAGATCGAACAGGAGGCAAGATGAAAAGGCAACAAAATGTCACACCAAACACTATTCAATCATGTGAATAGTTACAAAACTGACATTCTTCGGCGGTGAAAGTAATGTAAGCACGCCAGACAAAACGTTCCCCGAATACATCTCAGACCAGCGTTGGGGCTTTGGTGGGCTGCTAAATAGTGAGCACTATTGCGGAGCAAAGAACGGCGCACCACCACTGCTGGCTGAGTGGCCGGCGCATCTTACCTCCAGCAAGCAGCCTCACCTGCAGCTCCCCAAATGGGTGCCCACTGATGGAGCAGGCTGTGCAACATCATGGCTAAGCCTTTTGCATCAAAGAAGATTAGTGTGAAATTCATCACAATTTGTTTCTGAAATAGACATCCCTTCACAAGGATGCATCCAGAGAAATCAGATGGAGCTGATAATGAAAAAGGGTCCCCTCTCATCTTCTTTGTCAAATGTCACCTATATCCAGTGATAATGTCTGGTAATTGTCAAGGACATATTTTGTTCAATAGGGGCCCTCAGGATGTTCTTTTACTGAATATTGTTCATCCCTGACTTGTATGTCTATATCTCACCATTAAAATATTCTTAGGCCTGTTTTCCTTGTTATGGAACTAAGCCCTGATGGCAATGACCCATGCTGGGTCCTAAAATTCATTTTCATTTTGAGGTGGAGTACAACATGCATTGCCTTATTTGTTTCCAGTACCTTAAAGAGTGTTCAACATTTGCATGATGCCTTGAACAGAAATGGCATCTTAAAGATTATTTGGTGCAGTACACAGCCCTGCCCTTCTTAAGACCTAAACATCTCTAGTTTCTGAGCTACATGCCCACGAGGATGTGCAGACTTTTTCAGGTAGACTAATTAAAAGCATCCCATAGCTTTTTTCACTTAACAGTATGCCAATAATTACAAGTGAACCTATTTCTATACTTAAAAGTATACCAATAGTTATAAGTGAACTTATTTCATCATATCTGATGCATGCTTTAAGAGCTTCAAATGTGGAGCATTCCCTTTAATATCAAATTTGTCACTGATATATCCACAGAAAAGCCAATTGTCAAGGATTCCCATATATTTTGCGAGGTCTGGCAAAACTTAGGACATTTCTCAGTCTTTCCAGGCAGAGCAAGAGGCTGAGTGTTATCCATTTTAACCTAGTTTGGTTAGGAGTGAAACTTTCTATCAGAACTGTATATCGATTACATTTGAAGCCTTGTCAATATACTGATCACAGTCAACATGCAGGCCACATTTTGTAAGATTGCCTGATTGGTCAAGTCTAACAAATATGTGTTAGAATGCATGAATAAACCACTTAGTTTGAACCATAGTATTTGGTTCCAGTAATGTGTATAGGAATTTGCAATTTTACCAAGTTATCAATAGAATCAAAATAAGCATCCCAAACCCAGTTTCAATGCTTGGGATGCCTTGTTGAACAGCCCCTCTTCACTTCCCATAGTTGGTCAGCCTTATCAACTAGCTGCAGAGTGAGCTACTCAGCTAGCTAGAAAACCAAATCTTGGAAGATGGCCCTGCAACCACTATAGGTTATTTTAGGGTATGCTACTGACACACTGGTTCATCTGACTGCCAACAGCCATATCCAGGGATGGCAGACTAGGTGACAGGAAGAAGTTTTCTCCTCTCTCCCTCCTCCTCATCCTCCTCCCCACCCCTTCTATCCCTGAGGCAACATTTAACATTAACCCTAAATCAGTCTATGGAAAAAGTAGAAATTCTGTTTGCTCATTTCCCACACCACAGATGTGAACACTATGTTATCTGCCAGTGGTAAAGTTTTGCAAAATGTGTTAGACACCAGGGGGCTGAGAGGAAGAAATCTGATAACCCCGGCTAAATAAATGCCAACTGGTTTTCCACAACTTCAGCCCACTTTCTTATCAAATTTGGAATGCTGGAGCCCAATTTGGAGGGGCTGAACATTGGCTGGATAATGGTTGGACTGATATTGCTATTGGTATTGATTTTGTTGTATTGAACTTAGTCATACACTCACCTCACCATAAAAGCTTTAATGTTATATGATCCAGGCATTTGAATCCATTAGTACATATTCATTCCCCTTTTAGAAGGCGATTTCAAAATTAGTTTTGAAAATCCCAATACCTGGGTCAAAATGCCCTGCATGATAACATATTTTACACATGTACACATATACACACATCTATATTAGGCACAATTTGTGTTCCAAGTACTAGCTTTCAAATTGTATCATTCCCAAAAACCTCTTTTATTACACTGGCTGGGAAAAAAGACACAAAACAAAAAAGTTGCTTGCGTATTAAATGGCAGCTTAGCACAACAGGATTATGCAGCGTGTCTCCCATTCTCATATTCTCATTATATAAACAAGCATTAACAGGAAAGCCCGTTCAAGACCGGAACACAAGAATAGGATACTTACAATCTGGAGTTCCTTCCGGTTCCCAAGAAATGTAAGTTTGCCCCATCGACAACCTTATGGCGAACCGAATTTATTTGAAAATATCCTTGACGGATGGGGGTGCCCATTGTATTCACGACACCCACCTCCATTCCCTCTACCCGCATGCCAGTTCTGGAAATGTGATTAAGTGGACAGTCCGCCTTAAGCAAAGATATCCATCCGGCGCCCAACTTCCACCCCCTAAAACACCGCGGCCCGTCCCACCCGACCCCAGCCGTGGAGCGGAACTGACTGAATGAGGGACGGAATCAAGTATGGGAGGTGTGGTGCCACCAAGAGAAGGGAACGGGAGGGAAAAATTCAAATGACGTCAGTATACTTGGTGCTATGATTTATTTCATCTGCATTGGCTTCCGTGCGTTTTTTTAGAGCGCGTACATTTCATCACATTAGAATTTTGAATTTCTGATACGACATCTTGCTCGTTCTTAAACAGATATAACCCTTACGTTGGAAATCCCCAACGGTATATTTGACGTATGAAGCACTTTTCCGTCAAGGTTAACGGCTAGGAGTCGTCCATGACTTACATTACCGGTGGGCGGGGAGGGAGAGTTTGAGCGAGCGTAACCGAGGCCTAGCTTTAGGAGGGTGGTTTGGACATAGTAACGTTGCGCTCAGGTATGGATACAAAGCTGGCTCGATTCTTTTGAAACATTTCAAATACCGAAGAATCCAATGACTTCCTCTCGTTACAAGGAGCGGGGGGTGCAGCCAGAGGGGAAACGCCCATCAGGCCCGTCCTTTTCTTTCTCACCATACGTGGCTCCTGACAGGGAGTCAAAAATCGTCGTGTTATGTGCTCCCCGACCCTCCGCCCTGCCCTTAAGAAAACCCTGGCTGCGCCCCTTGCATGCAGCGTACTCGTTCTCGTTTCACACCTCAACCAATATGCCAAGCGAACGTCACGCCGCGTCACCGGGGCATGTGAGTCAGGTAACAAGTGAGCAATTAGCGGGAGAGTAGAAAGTGGCCAAGAAAATGCCTAGCACAATTCATGCGTGTGCTGTTACCTCGCGATCCCGTTTTTAGCCGGGTCTGCAGCGTTGGACGCCGGTGCGCCGCCATCGAGCTCCACTTGTCACGGGGATGCCGTCATGATTAAATATCACCTACATATTGCGTCATGTCTACTAGCCATCGTCATGTCCAGTTTTGTTTTGCATATGTACGTGCGTTACGCGTAAAACTTTGCCACTCCCTAAGATAAGTTGCGGCGTGGACAGGTACTTCGTTGCAAGGCCCACCCCCGACCCCTCCAAATACCTGGGCCATAGGGGGAAATCGCAATGCCTTTAGCATGCGCTCTCGCGGATCTGCGCTGGAGCTAGAGATAATTATTGCCAAGCGGCATAAAGCGACAAGTTCAGCAACTACACTGAATAAAGCCGAGGGTATGTCGACAAAAGGCAAATGCATACATTTATTACAACCTCGAGGTCATTCAGGACGAATCTCCGTGGGAGCTACCACACAGCGCAGCCCAAAGAAAGGCTCACTCATCGGCGGTAAAAAAGGTCACTAGCGTACTCAGAACAATGAGATCAAAAAAGTCCTACTATTCCACTCCACACAAGGTAAATGCGGCATCGGACTGAGGAACATCTACAAAAGAATCGCCAGCAAGGATAGTTGATTGCTCATGCACAAAATTGACCATGGCAGTGCCGGGATCAGATAATATAGCTCCAATAAAACATACTCCACGGCGGTCGGTGGGCCCTGAACAGCGGCCGCGCACGACGGCCATGGCCACTGGAGGTATAACAACGTTGTACTCGGCCTATGGAATGGGCCGTGGCGCGCGCACGGCCAGTGAAAGACGGGGCGGGCGGCGGCGGCGGCGGCGGCGGCGGCGGTGGTGGCGGTAGCGGCGGCGGCGGCGGCGTCACCCCGTCAGGTCGATGGTCCGCGACACGCCGCCAAAACTTCAGTCGCAGTCGCTTGGCACCCGGCGGCCGCTCGGCGCCCAGTCCCGACACGACCGCCTCCAGCTGCGCGCGTCGGCGACGCTCGCGGCTGTGCTTTTTCTTCTTCTTGTGCCAGCTGGCGGTGGGCAGCTCCCCGACGCCCTCGACGCGCAGCACCTCGTACTGCACCTCGCCGCTGGTGGCGCTGTCGTCGCTGAAGTGGCTGCTCGCCGACTCGCTGACGTCGTCGCCGGCCGGACTGCGTTTCATGCGCAGAGTCAGCTTCACGTGGCAGGGAGACGAGCCGGCGGCAGCGGCCGCAGTCGCCGCGGCGGCGGCCCGGCCCTCGGCGCGCCGGCGCCGGCAGCGCGGGCGGCGGCAAGCGACGGCGGCGGTGGGCGGCGGCAGCGGTGGTTCGGACGGAGCCAGCGAGCCGCGGCGCCGACCTGCCGTCGCCGCCGCCGCTGTCGGGGCCTCGGCCACCGCCGACAGCCGGCGCTGGGTGCGTGTCCGGGCGCGCGGCGCGGCACTGGGAGCCGGCGGCGGCGGTGGCGGCGGCGGTGCCGGCTCCAGCCGCAGCCGCTGCTCGGCGATAATCTGGGGCATCGTAGCGGGTCATGCCGCGCTGCCGCAGCGTCTCGACCGTCTGCTCCAGGCTGTGGGAGCCGGCGGCCGGCGGCGCCGCCTGCCGTCGACTCGAGTAGCGCAGCTGTAGCCCTCCGATTGCTGGTCCGCGTCCTTCTTGGCGAACGCGCCCGTCTGCCGCCTGGCGGATGCACGGCGGGGAGTGAGCCGCGCACAGACACGGCTGATTTACCATAGCCGCGGCGGGTCACAGCATTCAATATGCAGGCATCCGGCCAAATCATATGCACAACGACTCCACGCGTGGGCCCGGTGGTGTCACGTTATGAGCGCCATATGACCAACGTAGTCGGTGCGCCCCAAAGCCCAAATCATCATCATGTGGGCCTGGTGCCCTTAAGAACCACGGTTTGCCTCCCTTTGCTGTTATAATCGAAAGACATTACGCATCGTAATCTAGCACGCTTCACGCCAGCGTGGGCCGTCACCAGAGAGCTCACCTCTCGCAGGTCTCGCATTCGCAGTAACAGTTGTTATCGCCGAAGAAGTCGCCGCCGTAGTTGCAGGTAACCTCGTCGCCGGGTTCGATCTCGCGCAGGGTGCGCACCGTCGCCGTGTTCCTGCCAGTGGCCACGAACTGCCGACAGAGACGCGCGGCTCGGGTCACGGCGCGGCAAGGGAGGGAGGGTGGGAGCTGGCCTGACCTCTAGGTTCAACATGCAGCGCAGGACCGCTCCGATGGTCAGCGCGCGTGGTCATGACCCCGCGAGTGTCTCGTCGAGAACATCCTAGCAGCTGGGCGTCTCCGGACCGGCCCACTCCGCACCTGGTTGGAGGGAGCGTTCCTGGCCAACTCCGAAGTCACCGGCGCACAGCAGCCCGGCTCGCATTGGCGATAAAAGGGATCGTTCCTGACAAATTATACATAGACAGCAATGTGGCAGGCCGGTCACGGTACACGGTAAGTTAGGGGGGTTGGTCATAAATCATGCAACTCGCAAAGCGCCCGTCGTTACCGTGCAGTTGGCATTGCAGTCGTGGTTGATGTAGGCCGCCGGGCCGAGCCAAAGCTGGCCGCATTTCTTCCTCGTGCTGTACATGACTGAGAAATCGTTCTTGCCCGGGTGAAGAAAGTGGTTCTCTTCTTCCTCCGAAAGTTCAGCGATGCAACCCACTAAAAACTGGATTTCCTCGTTCCGGCCCCTGGTAAGAAATGCGCCTGACTTGATATACTGACAAGCTACACGTCCCCCAGGCATCATAATGCATCATAACAGTATGGCATAGCAATCTACTGGAATGGTCGTCAACACAACGGGCGAATACAAATTGTGATAAATGAACGTCGGTAATACCAAATACACTTAACATACACGAATATGACCAGTCCTTCGCACTTTAAGTGCATCAAACTTAAGTGACCTTTGATAAGTTTGACTTGTGAGTGACGCGGGGACGGCGCCATTGTGAGAGGGGACGGGGACGCGTTTCGTAACCAATCGAAAAACTGCGATTGCCCTACGAAGCTGCATAGAAATATTGAATCCAACACCTATCCGCTGATTTTCTGAGCGCCGCTGCGGAAATCGTCGGCTGTGGATGCCACATTCGCCGCAAGTGTGAACATAGCTAAGCTGGCTCCTACGCTATCCGCAGGTTCGCTTAGTTATGTGCACCTAAATTGCTACGGCAAGCATAATTCACGTAAAACAAACTAACGATGCCGTCGCAATTGACCGCAATGACGCAACCCTCCTAGCGTGAGACTTAGCAAATGATTCAGACCTGAGGAACAACGGACAGTAGTGGCCACAATTCCTGATGGCCTTGATCCTGGTCAGCCGCACGCGATGCCGTCTTAGCACCCCGCGGCGACAGCGTGCGCGACGCGGTGCCGCTACCAACGGATCCCGCAAGTACTCCAGCTAGATCGTGCCTTGACCTGAATGCCGACATCACGTCTGGCGCCTGGCAGCCGCTGCGTCGCGCCGCCTGTCCGGCCAGGTGCGCGAGTCGATCACGCGAGCTCGCGCCGCCCCCGCTTCCGGCCGGCCTCGGCGCCGACCGTGACTCACCACGCCTTGGTGGAGCAGACCCGGGCGCCGGCGTTATCCTCCAGCGAGTACCGGCTGCAGCCCATGATCGAGATCCCGGACTCCACGTCCAGCACGCCCAGAAAGCGCATTATCTGCACGGCGGTCAGCACGCTGTCAGACGGCTGGGCAGCGCGGCCGACAGACACAATCCTCAGCTGGCGGCCGATAAATGGTGGGCGACCCCATCACAGGAACGCAATATGACCCACACATCCCATAAAGGCGGCTAAATATATACCTAATTTAGCGTCTAAATAACCAGTTAAAAATACGGTGAGGGGGCATTAGCACATACCAGCCTATGATGGGACCATAAAAGAAGTCCAGATAAGCCTCTGAGCTTAATGGACCGTCTGCATGAATGCACTTCAGGCTGCTGACTAGATTATTCACTCGCATTCGCGACAGCATTTACAGAGCCCATACAACATCGCAAAAATGATTCTACATCCTGACAAATATGCCCTGGTAAAAATCTCAGCGGCCATTCCATAAAGATACCATGTCCCTGTTTTAGATTTTCCCGTCTCCTGCGATCGGGATAAACTCGAGTGCACCATCGACCCGTATGAGCCGCGCCCCCCGTGGTCGGCACCGAAGCCCCACTGACGTGGTCCCGCAGGTCATCCCGGTTGACCCGGTGCTTATAGAAGGCCATCAGCTGGTGCATGGCCTCGGAGCGCTCCAGCCGCTCGTACGTCTCCTCGTAGTTCTGGTCCTTGATGAACGAGAAGATCATGTTGCGCAGCACGTCCTTGTTGCAGCGCGGCGGCCGGTACCCTGCGCACGTGCCCGGCCGTCACGGAAGGCTCGCCGAGAGTTACGGCCTCGTTCCGCGCGGCCACCGCGGCGGGCACCGCACGGCCGCAGCGCCCCGGTGGCGCTAACAGTGGGAGGGCGTGACCGTGACGACACGGTAAAGGTACGAACAACCATGTCGGATGTGTGCTGTTTGCGAGGAAGGAAACATCGGGGCACTGGAGCGACACAGGGGTAAATCGTGGACGAGTACATGATCGGATAAGCAATTGAGATTGCTGCTTCTATACACCCATTGCAATATACATGTAGCACCTACAGACATTTTCTACACAGGATACAAATGAGCCCTCGCGAAAAGCTGGACACATAGCATATGCTGCAGTCCGACCTCAGGCCATCTTCTGTACGGGCAACAGTCGGCGCACCTGATGCACATCTTGTGCGTGTTGAAGCCCAGGTAGGGGTCGACGGTGAGCGCGGTGGCGATGTCGTCGCAGTCGGACAGCTCCTGGGGCGACAGCGTCTTGCCGCTGCCGCCGCCAGCGTGCCGGCGCTCCACCCTGCTGATCACCATCCCCCACGGCGCCACACTGTCCGCACACGGGCGCGCGTCACCGGCCGCCAGCGCCATCGGTCCGGACGAGAGCCGCCGACCGCCGGCCGGGCCACGGCCGCGGCCGCGGACACAGCGGGGAGGCGATGATGGCTGGTCCGAGACCAGGACACGGATGACGTATGGGGACGGACGTGCGCTTTTAGAGGAAGCGATGGCGAGCAGAACAGCATTTACGGCAGATGGACGGACCTGAACACAAAATAATTGGCATGTAGTCAATATCATTTAAGAGTTTGAGCACCCCTAGATACATGCCGATCAACGCAAACTAGCAAAAGCATTGCAAACCAGAACTGCATTGAGCAATATTGGTTGCAATGTGTCCCATATATATGCTTGGAAGCATCCAAACAATGTGTTAGCACCATCATAGTATCGCGATATTCCATCTCACAGCGATTGCAGCACAGCACAGGGTAAGCAGGTCCACACAACCTTGTGTCGCCCTCTCCCAGCCCATAATACTCCAACCAGCATCAACTTCCATCTGCAGGATATAATCAGTAAGAGCAGTGTAATGTAATTGACTAAACCATATACAGCAATCCCTCCCGATCATTTTGGACAACTGTGAACTCTAAAGCTGCACCAGCCGCATTTGCCATACCTTTTACACTAGTTGCAGACAAAAGTATGCATAGAAAACCCTTCGCACATAAATTGTCCATGCCATAAAGTCCTGTGTGCTTGAAAATATCAGGAGAGCGTACGTCCCGAAGAAAAATTATAACGTAAATTTCGATGTAGAATAATGCAACGACGAATTTCTCACCATTTATGTAGAATAAAGTCTGACTGGGAAAATTCTTGGCAGGAAGTTTGTTGTATGTTTGTATCAGTATAAGTATGCATGGACAAGGATTATATTCGACAGGGGTTGTGGTTAAGGGCTTTAAAAAGTGTTAAACAAATTTGAAAAGGGTTGCAGGAAAAAGATGTAAAGGAGAGGGAATGACTTAGTTAAGTACCCAAAACCAAAGCATCACAATGTTTTTTGTTGTGTTTTGATGTTTCAGGGCCCACTTATTACAAAGGTCATTTTTGGGCCCATAACATACCAAGGGGGAACAAGATAGCAATGTGCTGTCATTGCACCAAAGGACCAAGCCAGCTTCTGCTTCTGCTTCATGAAGCTGCAGTTTTCCTTCAAAGACTTTAGATTTGGCTCCAGATTTGAGCCGTTTTTCACATCTGGCTTCAGCCCTGCCTTCAGCTTCCTGTCACTTAAACAGTTTGTTTCCATTGCTTCCTCAGTTTAAAAAAGCTTTGAGCTATGGCTCCAGCTTTGGCTCCACCCAATTTTAATCTGCTGGCTAAGGCTTTGTCATGATTGTTCATTACAGTTGGCTCTATTTACAGGCTCTATTTCACAAAACCAGTTCCCTTCCTGTTACCCCCCAATATACCACACAGCCATGCAAGGCAGCAACACAAACATTGCTGAAAGCCAAAACTAGCAGCTGTTCTGAAGAGCAATCAACACCTGATGAAGAACACCTCATAAGAGCTAACTTTCTGAAATGTTGTACACACAGGTAGCACACTAACACACAAACATTACTTGAGAATTTCTGTTACATAAGCTTACAACTTGTCTCACCCACTCTGCAGCACCATTGTATTTCCTCATGCCACTTAAGTTGAGCTGATTGAAAAATGGTTTCAGGCCTGCAAAGCATCACTGTACTCTAGATTCAGTTTGGGCTTTAACCTAGTGACTTTGGCAGGTGGGTTTGGCTTTAGCTTCACATTACCAGAGTTTCAAACCTTTGGCTTTGGATCAACATGTACAAAGTCATAAGCCTTAAATATAAATGAACTATATATATATATATATATATATATTTGGCTTTGGATCAACATGTACAAAGTCATAAGCCTTAAATATAAATGAACTATATATATATATATATATATATATATATATATATATATAAGTCTTTGTCTACAACTTCAGCTTCACAGTTATCAACTTCAAAGCCATCCCCTTCAGCTTTGACCTCTGCTCATGTCATTGTCTCAGCTTTGTTGTCAGTTTTGAAGCCAGCCTTTGTCCCCATGTCCAACTGAGATGATGTTGTGAATCATGTCAAACCTTTCATTTCAATGTTCCACAATCCTAAGATTAGATACTCAATCAGATGCCACCTCTTTGGCATTTACCTTATTGTTGTGTTATGTATTGTTTCACCTATCAAATGTGTCCCACTTGATCAGTCAACCAGTTTTTCCAAAATACTAGCTCAGAATTTTGATCTGCAGTGGCTACTCCAAAGGGAAAACCTATTGGACACATGCTTGTGCCCATAAATGTAATAGTTATGTGTCCAATGGCATTTTCACTTACTATGACAACTATTGTTAAGGCTATTCCATAGCCTTACACAATGCTTGCAATATACATGTCAAAATGGTTTGCAATTATGACCATAACAGCTTGGAGTTCTCTATCTAGGAAGAAAACATTAGAATATACCATCTTTATCACACAAATTCAACACAACATTACACAATAGTCTTTATTTCTCCCTAAGGTGTTTAACACAATGATTCTTTTATAAGTATACTTTGGCTTATGAAAACAGATGCATCATGTGTTCTAAAGAGTACCTGGTACTGGTACAGGCTTCTGCTGATGAGCTTCTTGCAAATGGCCCCACCCACTGTACTGATCAACATATATTTGTTTCAAATTATGTAATTTATACCAGTATAGATGCCACTTTTCAGCTTGCAAGCCTACAATGTTCAGGTTAACAGAGCTAACAAGTGGTATGTTAGGCCTGGAACAGCTGATCATGGCCGGCAGCACATTCTGCCCTTATCAGCTGATATGGACAAATGCTGCATCCTGGGGCTCCAAAGAATAAAGAAGTTCTTTGGCAAATGCTGATTGTAATTTGGACCATACAATAATTAAATTTGACTGCCTACTTTATCTTGTTGGTGCACTGGTGACACTACCCACAAGTGTTACCAAAATATCTGACCCTGACATTTCACCTCAGTATGCTTTTGAAATACACCCAAAGGGCAGCAGACCCTCTTTAAGTGGTAATCTTTTTATGGCATGTAACATCACAGGAGAATGCCAATCTGAAACAAATGTGACCAACCTGCCAAGTGCTCAAGTGATAATGATATTCTTAACCTCATACATTTGTGCACTGGGCATGGTTTAGGGCTAAGTAAAGCTTATGTTACCTAAAAATTAAGCTCAAAACAACACCTCTTGGGGACTATTCAGATTGTTGCACCCTGAAGCTACCACTACTTTATCCCTAATCACACCTACAATGACTCTCCAAGCACAACAATTTGTGGAGATAGAGCATCTAAGGGTAGCTGCACAAATTCATTGCAAAATGTGTAAAGAAATTTGCAGCTACAGCAAGTATCTCAGGCATAACAAATATTTTAGCAGTCTAAGGACAGTGTAAAACACAAAAATGAAAATTTTAGCCATTCTGAACTAACAAGGGTTAAGTCTTTTTCAAAAATGAAAATTTTCTGCTCATTTGGCAAAACATTTGGCAGCTTTTGGGAACAGTCTACATAGCCCTTTTATGCACACCTTGGCATGCATGGCAATGATAAGTGAACATATTTGCCATATTACAAGGTCCATTGGCCTGCATTGAGACCCAGCCCTTAAATGAAATGGCAGGACGTCGAAAGTGCTGGAACTAATAACATACGGCTGAACTCTACGAAGTTTCTCCCTTCTACAGGTACGGCCATTGAGTTAAAAGCATACATACCCATTCGCACTGGGGCAATTCTGGCGCAGCACTTAAATCTTCTATTACCATGCAACAGGCCGCAATATACCCAGTCAAACGAGCTAATAGTATGCTGTAGTCATCTCGCGAGTCATATAAATCACAGCTGTATCAAATACAAGCTTCCTGAGAGCAAAATAACAGAAGAATACGCCAGATCCGACTACTGCCAAACCAATAGTAGTGAGCAGATACCGTTACTGATGTATTGCTGTTTTTGCTTGCTATTCACCAATGAAGGAAGCAAAATGTATATTTATATGATTGCTTGGTACATTCGTCAACATTTTCAGCGCCTTTTTTTATCCACATGAATATATCAGAGCAAAAATAAATAAGGTAAGTGAACATCACTACCACATTGAAGAGAATTGATCGGCAAATTACTGTTTTGCCGATCGCAGTTCAATGTTGTCTCTTTGGCGCAACGGTACACTACAGAAACATAGATCTGGAGCCTCCGGAGTCTTGAGTGATAACCAGTGTAAGAGTAGCTAGAGTCAGCCACCTAGTTCACTATAAGAGAGGCCACAAAATTGCATATTTCACGTCATGTCTCGGCCACTATCGCTGCCAGGTACCAGTGGGAGGGGCAAGTGGAAACCAGTCAATAAAGACATATCCCTCCTCCGAAAGCCATCCCGTCCCATCCCCACAAAGCATGAGGACTGAAAAACTCACTATTTTTTAGGATAATGGAAGGCTCTCACATGGCTCTTGCGCTCTCCAAAGCAGCACGTAAAACAAAATAATTTGTGCAATGAATTGCAAAAGACACCTTCGGTGCAACATATCCCTAAGCTCGTGGTGATTATTTCAGGGTTTTTTTTGGTAGTTTTCGAAGTGCGTTGAACTCTCAGATCTGGTAGCAAAATGCACTCGTGTGAAATGTGCCACTGCTCAACGGGATCTGCTGCCTGCGGGACGCGCAAATGCGTTCGTTTTACACAGTAAACGCAAAGATTGTAAAGTTCCAAAAATGACAAAATGCCCGGCGAAAATCAGGTTTTTAGTTTGACAACAAAGGGTTACATGTTGTGCTGTAAATGTGCTGATTTCGTATCGCTGAGTTACAGCGATACGAAATCAGCACATTTTCGACTTGGCAAAGAACGGGAAATGACACCCACGACAATATGGGCCAATGCGTGCGGTGGTGCACGTAAGGTCGTGCTAAATCCCCAGATTTCGGGGTGTTAGGGCCAGAATTGATCTCAGATCTCAGCAGTCCGTCTGTGTGACGCTACGAACTCCACGCAGTAGGTGTATGCACTGTCTACAGATGGCCTCGCAGCCCAAAAACTATCTGGCCGTCGGTGACGCCAGTAATCGATCGGTAAGCCAGCGATGCTCTTTTTTGAAACTGATCTCGAATGCAGCACGCTGTCGCATAAACAGAGTAGAGATCAAGTACGGTAAATACGCTCTTATGTGCCAGGGCTGCCCATCCTACACTCACAGTGTGCCCGGCATATCCGTCTGCCGGTTGATTGCCAGCTCTTTCTCCGGACAAAAAGAAAGACACTTCCAGCACATTCACTTTCACTTTTTGTTTGCACTTAGCCAGTATAGTGGTATTTTCCACCAATTCGGACCAAAGTAGTGTCCTTCCATGACCTGGTGTCACATACCGCTTTGGCGCACCGTCCTGGAAGTACATCGTCATCTCTTGAGTACGGTCGTGGTACGGCCGACATACATATGTGGTACATACATACGACATACGAGTGTGGTCGACGCGCGCAATTGTCAATGGGCCGTTAGAACCCGCAGATAACGTTGGTCATTTTCAGTGGTGAGCCATTCGTGGATATGTTGCTCTGCATACTAAGGTTTCATATGCTAGGACTTTTTGTAAGTTGTCAGCTTGCTGTTGTCTGCGCGAAGCGGGAAGCGGCGTGATGTTGCTGGGAAGTAGTTTATGGACATCATAACGCGAGTAGCTTTTTCCTCATCCCTGTATGTAGCTGGCATATTGTTTTGGTAATACGGTTTTTAATGTCAGTTCTTGCCAGTTACACAAGTTAGACTAGTTGTTCTTGACCAGGATGTGTCTAATACCGTCGAACTATCGGTCATGAACGGTCATGCCGCGCAGTGTCTGAATGCCTGTTGTGTGTATGATCGGATCACGCTTTGTTACATTGATCTGGACACTCACTACGACCACTGAGGCAATTTTTATTTCCTGTGAGTTTTCGAAATGTTGAAGTTACATATTTTCTGCATGACGCATCAACAGCTACGTCTAAAAACGGAATTGTGTGGCCAAACGATGGCTCTGCTGTGTATTTTAGAGCTGAGGTTTCTTCAAGGATTGAACATTGGCAGAGAAGCTGCTGCTCGCTGGGAATATACTGACGAACACGTCGTCAATATATCGACAGTATGTGCACGGTTTCGTTTCCGTACCGCCGATAGCTCGTCACTTGATGTGCGCCATAAGGAGTTCTTAAAAGGGCGTGTCTTTAGTGCAGATGTGCAAACATTTTTTGGTCCTCCAGAAAAGAACTCCAGGTAAGTACACCGCTGAAATGGACACGTGTGAGTAAACGTACTAAGGCATTATTTTAACGCTTTCGGAAATCGGTGCGTTCATGAATAGTGATGAGGCGTGAAGGTATATTGATATACCCTTCTGCAAACTGGAGCGCCCGAAATCCGGGAGGAATCTGGTTTTGTGGATAGGTTACGCCAGCCTTACCGGTTCAGCCTCCCCCCAACCGACTGCAGAAAGCGATACCCCTACCTTTCGTATGACATATTTTCCAAACAAAAGCGACATTCGTGGGTACGAGTGCTAAGAAGCATTCACGCACCCCAACACATGACCCTTTTCATTCATTTTGACGCTCGGACGATACCGAGGTTGGGACGCTTGTCAAGTGACTGTAACGCGGCTCTTAAGTATTGATAATCACTCAGATTTATTCACAAATCGATATCAGGAGCTATCAGGCGCGTTTAATTCATCAAGCACAGTATCATCTCTATTTAACACGCGTATCATGATGCACCCATATATATATAAAATCACGAGGGTATTCGTAGGGTTTCGCGTAACGTTGATATGTGTTGGTTGTGGTAGCACATATACAAATACTTGACTAATATGAGCGTTAAGAAACAAGGTCACGTTGCTCCTACACTTTGACAATGTAGCGCCGGCAACGACCCTCGGCCGCCGGTTCCGTTTGACCCTCGTCGTTATCGCCATCGTATACTACATGTTCAGCGTCAGACCCTCGTGGGGTGCGCATGCACCGGCTTTAGCAGGCCTCAGGGCAGCTTGGGTGCACGCAGTTGCGTTGGATCAGTTGACTAGTAGGCTGCACGAGTGCAGTTATCGTGTGGGGCAATACAGATCAGGGTAATGGACCATAACATCTATAGTGCCGGGCCAGCTGGTCACAAAATATGGCTCAAAGTGTTTTTGGAGCTTGCGTCCATTGGATTTGGATTTGCCCTCCGTGCTGTTGCACAAGGAAATTACGCAAAATACCTCCTCATTCCTTGGTACAGCCATTGGTGTCCACAGGCTGCCTCAAATTGTGTGGTGGTGGCCAAACATGTCCACGATTGTGTGGTGACGTTGAGCAGAATAAAAAACTCGACCGTCATCGTGACATCGCAAACAAAGGCGTCCATCCCGCTTGATGAAGCTCTGGTTATCAGCGATTTTGTCTGACATTATACCCATTTTCAGCAGGATGCCACTTAGGGGATGTACTTGGATGAATTCCAGTACACGGTTAACACACTCATAGCCTTGGTGAAAATGGAATGACGCAACACAAAACTATTGCATGCTATGGGATTGTAGCAAATACAATGCAGTAATTTTGCACGTGTTTATCAAATATTTGGCCAGATACGAATGAATTATTATCCCTATCCTCCCTTCTCCCTAAGGATGTCACTAGGTCCTAGCTGTCGGGTAAAACTAGGTCAAACAAGGTCAAACCGAAGATCAGTGCCTGAAATGCTCTCAGATCTCTTCCCGCTGGGAGGAGATCTAATGCGTCTTGTTGCATCAAGTTACATAACGTCGTCCAACGCTCCGTTATCGTGTCATGTCAAACGATTCCCTAGCGAATGCGTTTGCTGACAGTAATGGCCAGGCTTGGCCCTGCCGTAGGTCAGCGACCTTTCGAGGCATGTCTAATGTTTATATGAAAAGATCGGCTAGTCAGTTGCTGACAGGCAAGCAAAGTCTGGCGCGACTATGCCAATCACCGTTACGAAATTATTCTGTAAAGCCCCCGGGTGGTGGGGGCAAATTGACCCCTAACCGAACGCGTGTTTACGTCGCTCATCGTCTTCACACATATTTTGAAACATGCGCTGGGTGAGTTTTCTTTACATGTCATGTCAAAACAGCATGTGACGGTATTTGGGGGTGATGAAACCAGCCGCCGTCCGAAAGAGCCTGAGGCGGAGCCATCAACAACGCGTTAGAGTCCCATGCCATTTGGTAGGCAGATGTCCCATGTAGGTGGCGTGCGAATGCCAAAATGAGTGAAAAGTGCCCTGTTCTCAACCATGGGTAGCCCATTTAGGCATACATACACTCGGATATTATTGTTGTTCAGCGAGACCAACGTGTGAAAGGTGTTGTTTGCTGTACGGCCTGCGATATGGATAACTTCTGCACGTACATTAGCGTTTGCGAGCATATGCGTTTACGGCCATCGATGACATTAACTGCCGTACGTGCATTAGCAGCTACACACATGAGATGTTTGCAAACGTGTCGCAATGAGATATTAGATGGAAAACAATGTGATGTCCGTTATAGAATGTATTATGGTCGAACCAGTCATTGATATAATAAATTAACACCAACTATGGACTGGTATCAGCAGTTACAAGTGCAAGAAATCATAACATCAAAGATAAATCATTACACAGGAGCAGCTCGGCGTCTCAAACCGTCAAAACGCTCACGAGCAATAACACTCGACCTTGCACCAATCGCGCGGCGACGTCGGGAAGCACGTCTGACGTCGGCCTATAACGTCAGCCGGCGTCAGCCAATCGGAATGGAGGCTCGGTCGCGGTACCGTTCGCTGAACCCGGCGGACAGCGTCGACACGCTAGCTGTACCCAGCTGTGGTCGTCACACGACGGAATGGATCTGGCATCAGCTTGCACGTCACTGGATTGCGGCGCTGCCATCAAACATCGGGCACTTCGCCTTCCCACGAGCTGACTCAGGGTGTAGTCGCACACATCTTTCGCACCGCGCGCCCTCGACCACACAACGCTGCATAATTGCTCCTCGACTATTTGTACAACCTCACCAACTGGTATGCCGCCGAAGGCGGCAAAGTCTCCGAAACACAGAGAATCACAGACGGCCCAGGGCGGCCTCACGCGGCCGCCACATGGCCAGTACGAAGCACCACCACCCTCGATGACGTCACTGGTAGCGCGGCGCCCGGGGCGCTACACGGTCCACTTTTTGAGCGCCGACACGCCCAGCTTGAGCCAGCTGTCGCGCGTCACCATCGCCTGCTGGAAGCCGTCGGAGCCGGCCAACACGCAGGCGCCCAGGTACGCGGCGTGGTACCGGTACGGAGATGCATGCACCTGCGGTACAGGGTACAGGTCAGCTGGACCCGGCAGGGCGGAGGGCTCGTGTCAACTGGGTTAGTCAACTGGACATGCTATGCGGCCTGGGAAGGCTGTCAGCCAGGGGAAGAAACCGGGTCGGCAGCATCAAACATCACCGGCTTAAGAACGCAGAACTGACGCTGCAAGTGCTATTTCGAAACGGGCAGAAGAGCGTATTTATGTCAGCAAAGCGTTCTAACTCACGGCGTAAAACAAAAACTTCCAGCACGATGACATCAACATCCATGTCATGTGCGTCGCTGGCATGCAACAGGTCGCAAGCCTACGCCAACTCGGTATAGTAGACCTATAATAACAATATTGATGTCTCATGCCAGCGTGTGAGCAGTCCGAGTTCAGTTCTGTGATCCAGAGTACGGCACATGGACTGGGCCAAGATGAGACTACAGACTTACTCGAAGCGTCACCGGCGGCTAGCCTAGGAGCGAAACTGGAGGACTGGCGCCGGATGTGACAGACATTTAACCCCGGATGTGACGTGGAACGGACGTCAAGTCCGGGATGTGACGCGGGACGGACGTCCCAGCCCGGCTGAAGACGGACATCTGACCCGAGATGTGACACGGGACTAGCGCCTAGCCCATGCAGCGAGCGTACCACCGACGACATCGCCAACATCTAGCCCACGGTCATCGGACGGCCCTCTGAGCCCGGATGTGACATCTGCCGGTCGCGGGATGTGGCCGATGACTGACCTTGGGCGTGACTGAGGGTGGCGTCAGCTTGTCCATCTCGGCCTGCAGCCGCTCGGCGAAGCCGGGCAGCAGCGTCACACCGCCGGCCAGGTAAATGGAGCGCACCATCTCCTTGCGGATGTCCACACTGCACTCCTGAGGGCCGCAGCGGAGCAGTTGGCTCAGCTCGCACGGAGCCAGACCATAACCATGCGGATTGCACTCCAGTGCCAGGAGCATCTACACAGCAACACTCCAACCGCGCCGACTGTTAAACGTTAAAGACCGACCGCGCCGACTGTTGAACGTTAAAGACCGACTGCGCCGACTGTTAAACGTTAAAGACCGACTGCGC